ATTTTTGTAAATATTTATTTGCATACTATATATGTAGACCCAATGCCACATGCTGACACTATGGCTGTGAACAAGACAAATGTGGTCCCTGCCCTCATGGAACTTACCAAACAATTAGAGAGACTATATGTTAAATAATAATGCAATAAATAAATGCAAACATGAATTTTATTAAAGCAAAATATATATTTTTAAGAATCCATACAGCAAAGAAAATGAACTTATTTGAGGTGGGCTGTGTGACTTGGAAATTAGAAATAAAACAGACAGAGATAAAATGAGACCTCTCATTTCAACCTTTGGGACTTTGAAAATGTATTTTACTGCTTTAAACCCCCTTCATAACTTAGTGCCTTTCTTACAGTATTCTAATCTTGCATTAGACTTATTAGAGACCTTTTCTTATTCACGCTAATACCTAATATATATTAATATATATTAATTGAATGAGATAATACCTAATATATATTAATTGAATGAGATAAATTTTGATTTCGCTAATAACTCTTGTTTAAAGGCTGAGTATGTATAGTTCACTTTTATCTCGTGCATAGAGTCTTGCACTTAGCCAGTTAGTCAAAAGTAAAAAAATGTCAATAGTTGCCTTTTCAGTGTTTACTTGAAAACATCTTAGAATACTTACAACTTATGACCAAAAAGTAAAAAATAAAACAGCCTTATAATTTCATACTCTAATGATAAAAGTATGTAATGCTGCTTTCTATCCTCAAAAGTTGTGCTGAAAGCTCCCCTGAGTTCTACATTTTTGTGTGTGAAGTGGATAATCTTTATTTATCCCTCTAGATCCATCCTGTACCATTTTCTACCTTGTCCTGTTTCCCAGGGAGCAGATATCTATGGACTACAAACAAACCAGAGTTTGCGCTACATCTGACTACTATTTAGATTTGACCAGTTGAGAGCATCAGCAGCAGGTTAGAAATTGACAAAGGAGAGGTTGGGGTATTTTGTGCCCTGGCTGGCTGCATGCCCTTCTGTGATACTACAGTGGCTACATTCTGCTATATCATCATATAAGTTCTGCAGGATTTCCTCTCCTCCAGATATAATTATTTCTAGGTTTTTATGTTGCCTCTCTCTCCCTGCTCTGCAGCCCCAAAGGTAATAAAGGTTTCTGCCCCTTGTTGTAGGAAACTTCATCAACATGTATTGGTTTTTCTTAGACCTGCTCACACCTTTGTAAATAATCCTTTTATTAAACTTGCTTCACTTACTCTGAGTTAGCCATCCTGTTCTACTAGGATCCTGCTACAAGAGACATACTTTTTCTTATTCAAAGTGAGAGTAAAACTGAAAAATGAATGAAGAGCTAACTATTGTGAGAGAAGTTTCTGGGTAAGCAAAGAAACTGCATGTTTCATTGCGAAGAGTAGAAGCCTTGAAGTCGGGTGGACCCGGCTTGTTCCAGGCTCCAACTCTTCCTACATGTGGGACTAGAGACCAGTTACTTAAATCCGTTGTGTCTCAGGATTGTCCCACGTAAAATGGGGATGAAAAGTCTCAACAGGACTAGTGGGAGAATTACTGATACCGTGCAGGGTGCTTGCTCCTGGCACGTCGTAGGCACTCAGTAAATGGTGCTTTTATCACCAGCAATAACTTCCGCCAACAAGAGCACATTCAAACAACAAATCAGAAATGTTTCTTTAAAAACAACAGTGGGGTGCCTGGGTGGCTCAGTAGGTTAAGCTTCCGACTTCGACTTCGGCTCCAGTCATGATCTCAACAGTTCATGAGTTCGAGCCCCATGTGGTCCTGATCTCATGGCTCATGAGTTTGAGGCCCACATCTGGCTGTGTGCTGACAGCTCAGAACCTGGAGTCTGATTCGCATTCTGTGTCTGCCTCTCCCCCACTCACACTGTCTCTCTCTCTCTCTCTCTCTGTCTCAAAAATAAACATAAAAAATTTTATTTTATTTTATTTTATTTTTTTTTTAATTTTTTTAATGTTTTATTTATTTCTAGGAGAGAGAGAGAGAGAGACAGTGTGAGCAGGGGAGGGTCAGAGAGAGAGGGAGTCACAGACTGAAACAGGCTCCAGGCTCTGAGCTGGCAGTCAGCACAGAGCCCGACGCGGGGCTCGAACCCATGATCCGCGAGATCATGACCTAAGCGAAAGTCGGATGCTTAACCGACTAAGCCACCCAGGCACCCCATAAACATAAAAAATTTTAAAGACAACAGAGCCACAGTGATTTTGACAAGGAAGAGAAGGAGAAAGTTCTGTGTACATTTCTACGTTTTTTTCACCAATGCTTATTATTTAAATAAATGTGCTTTCCTACAATCTACTATTGTAGGAAATCTACAGTACAAATCTACGATACAAATCTACTTTCCTATACTATTATAGGAGAGTGGTTTATATTTTATAGGACCAAATGGCATCCTGAGACAATGCCCATTTATGGGCCATCAATTCTAAAATATTTCTGAAGAAGATGTAAAGTTTTGCTAAAGCACTTAATTCATTGTGAGATTAGAACAAGAGTCAGACAACTACATTTGTTATTTTTTTTAAATCTCTCTCTTATAGACATAATGTAAAACCCATTAAGTCATAATATCATTTTATTTGAATACAAATGTTCCAAAATTCTTCTAACCATTTGCTTGGTAGAGTTTTCAGAGTTCATTCTATTAAAAAACAAATATATTTCTTCACATGAGTCTTAGAATGAGTTAGTTTTCTTGAAGAGAAATCTTACCAACAGATTTATCTTTAGAAAATGTATATTTTACACTAAGAAAATCAATGATTTTTTTCTTTATTTCCCAATTGTCTCTTTGAAGTTTTCTAAGAATCTGTTGGTTTTTTTTTTTTTTTTTCAATTAAAAAACTCTGTATCAACTCAAGGCCCATTGAATTAAATGGTATTTGAATAGCAACTTTTCCTCCTTTGGTGTTAGATGTTTTATGAGAATGCATTTTTAGAAGATATCTTATTTGCAATTACATCTTCTGGACATTTGGATATTCACAAGTAAAATGTTATTTCAGGAGATTCCTATAAATATGTCAGCATTTATGAAGTGCTTTTAAAACATTTGGAAGTAGCTAATTGTTGCTTTAGAAAAATCTGTTCTAAATATAGAAAATGACACATTGGCTGCTGTTGACACATTTATCCTTGAACTCAGGAGCTGCACAGGCTTACCCAAATTGACATGTTGCTGCAGTCTCTTCTCTGGTTATTAGCTTTAAGGGTTAGTTATCAAATATTATTCAAGGGTAACAGGTAAAGCCACACAAGGAAAGAAATGAAACTTTGGGACAAAGAAGAAAAATGTTCTGAATGCTGTGGGGGTAGCTGATGTTAATCACTCCGTGCAAAGAACAGATACTGTTATGCCAAGCAGAATGTGACAGTATTGAATGTGGAACTTTGAAAAGAAACATTCTTTAGAATGTTAGGATATCAGACTTTCAGCTTAGACTATATTGGTTTCCAGCAAAGATGATGTGTATAATAACTTTGGAAACACTCAGTAGTTCAGGAAATGAGAAAGCACTGCACTGAAGACCCATAGGAAGGGAGATGCAGAGCTGTACGTGGGACGGACATTTGTTTCATTTGTTTCATCTTCAACATCATTTCCTCTGTTTTCCTTAAGTGTTGCATTTGACAAATATTTTCAGCGCTTAACGTTTTATATGGGGAGCTTTCTACTTTATATGCATCATCCTTTGAAGAAAATGTGTTGAACCCAAGAATTATAAATGAAGATGGAGAAGTAGGAGTAGGAATACACCAAAAAGAAGCCCCTCAGATTACCTTCATAGACAAGACTTCACTGGCGTTACCACCTGGGATAATTACTGAAAATGTACCTTTCCTGTGTCTTCAATCCTTGCCCATACCTACTATGACCCAGATTTTACTTGGTCTCAAAATTGAATTTAAGATGAGTAACATTCATTAATTGAACATTCTATGTACTAATGCATTTGCATTATCCTTTTCACTTTTCAATCACTACTTTGGGAATTTACACTAACACAGAGATTCAGCAGATGGGCAGGTGAATCTGGAGGTTGGTAAAAACAGATGTGCCTATAAGCTATGTTCTTTATGCATTTTAACCTCTACTGGAATGAACTTGGGCAAATAATCTTTACATTTCAATGTTGTGAATTTGGGGCTGAATAGATGGTGTTCAGGAGTTTTGAACTAATTTGTAGATGCACCTTGATGTGGTAGTTTTTGCTTGGAATATGAATGCCTTTCCCCTTATTTATCTGTGTGACAAAAGTAATATTGCTTTTCCTTTCTAAGTTTCAATTCCCCTTCACTAAAAGATATAACAATACCCGGGGGTGCGTGGGTGGCTCAGTCAGTTAGGCATCTGACTTCATCTCTCCACTCAGGCCTTGAGCTCATGGTTTGTGAATTCAAGCCCTGCTTTGGGCTTTGCACTGGTGGTGGGGAGCCTGCTTGGGATTCTGTTTCTCCCTCTCTCTGCCCCTCCCTCTCTCACTCTCTCTTTCTCTCTATCAAAATAAATAAATAAATAAACTTAAAAAAGAAATAACAATTCCTCCTCTGTAAGATTGTTGAAAAATCAAATGTAGTGTATATATGTTTAAGGGAAATTAGAGTATAAAAAGAAGGGCTCAGTTTAGTAAATAGTAATTTGAATGTGTGTGTATTAGGTTTTAATTACTTGCTACTTGGAGATTTAAATGGTTACCTTTATCCATTTAAATGGTTAGGTTTGTTTATTTGTTTGTTTGTTTTACAGAAGTTTTTAAAAGTATAAAAGGTCAACTGAAAGCTGTTTATTTCTCAGGACTGTTTGACAAAATTCTCACCTTCCCTGACAAAATAAAAAACAAAATGAACTCAATTAGTTCTAGTCCTTATGTGGTGCTTTTCAAGAATACTTTCCTGAAATAGCCATCACAAGAATTAAAATGTATTTGTTGACTTTTGCTGATTATTTCTCACTTCTAAACCTCGCCATTTTGAATTTGCAGGTATGAATATAAGCAAGAGTGAGATAACAAAAGAAACTTCATTAAAACCATCTCGGAGGTCACTGCCTTGCCTTGTTCAGAGCTATGCCTACTCAAAGAGTTTGAGCCAATCTACCTCACTCTTCCAGTCAACGGAGAGTGAATCTCAGGCTCCCACTTCTGTGACCTTAATCTCCTCTGACAGAGCTGAGCAAGGTGAGCTGCTATCTTGTTCTTTTGTTGAACTTGCAGAGTCAGCGTTTTCAAGCCATTCCTTCCTTCCTTCATCCACTTTACTAGTATTTATTAGAGCTCTTAGCAGGAAGGCTAGCATAGGAAGACCAGTATACCAGTCAATGGAAGGCCAGTTCTTGGCCAGATATGTTTTCACTTCTTATTTGCCTTGAAAGTAGCCAACGTTCTGGGAACCTGGACCTAATACTTTCTGTTTGTGGGAACATACAGACCAGCTAGACCAGACTAGCTCGTTCTCATTTCTGGTGAGAATTTATAACCAGTAACTGAGTAGAATATGTCAGCAGTAATCAAATCAGTTTCCTAAAAAGAAAGACCAAAAATTTTAAATAATATTGACAATAAAGCAATGAAGATTTGGCTTTGGTCAAAATATAACCAACCCCCCTGTTATTCAGTGGATTAGGTATGTTTTTATTTTCCCATCCCATCTTTTTGTCTTATGAGAGTGCATTCCTTTATGATTCCTTGAGGTTGTTTCTTCCTCTGGATAACTTTGAAAATACCAGGATTCTCGGGGCACCTGGGTGGCTTGGTTGGTCAAGCGTCCAAATTTGGCTCAGGTCATGATCTCACTGTTCATGGGTTCGAGCCGCATGTCAGGCTCTGTGGTGACAGTTTGCGGAGACTGGAGCCTGCCTCAGATTCTGTGTGTGTCTCTCTCTCTGTCCTTCCCCCACTCATACTCTCTCTCTCTCTCCCAAAATAAATAAAACATTAAAAAATTTAAAAAAAAGAAAATACTAAGATTCTATTTTCAATAATATTGTGAAATCATTACCAATTATCAGCAGCTTACATCCATGCCCAATAACTACTTTTCTAGGAGCTAATTATTCAAGAAAATAAAAGGCTTTAAAATATAATAGAGATACATCTTGCTCTTACTGAGTGAAAATTTAATTAACCAATTTCAACTCATTAACTTAAAAATGTTTATATTTGGCTATCATTTGGGTATCAGCCACCATGGTCATTTTTTATATATTAATGTTTCTTTTTCCCAAAACTATGAATGGCTTTTTTTTTTCCAGTTAATGCTGAGGAGGATAAAAAAGACTCTGTGCTCAAATGCTCTTTCGCTGACCTTAGTGACTTTTGCTTGGGTAAGTTGATTTCTAGTACTTCCTACTCCTTTACCCCCTCTTCAAACATAAGCTGCCTTCTTCAAATCTATAACATTTTTTTTAAGAAAAAAATTCAGGCTTGGTCTTTAGCATTTGATGGATGAGCATAATAATCTAAGGTGAAAAAATGAGTAAGCTATTTCATGTACAGCTTGAAATTCGAGTAGTATAAGATTTTTAATGAACAATAACCTCATAACTAAAAACTTTAACACTTTCCTTCAGTTCTCTGTCAGTAAGCACATTCATACTGTTGTTTCTAGATTTATCAAATTTCAGCAGTATCCTTTGATCCCCTGTTGTGTCAGATGAAGATTTAGCCTATTTGTATGACCTTTCAATTATTCATAGTTATATTGCCATTTAAAATTTTAAACCTTTCTACTGATTTACTTTGTAGCTTTAAGTAGTATATTTATACATTTTATCGTGTTCCTTCACATTTTAATGATATCTCTTGACTCTGCACTTGGCAAATGTATCACTACGATGCAAATAATGCCTTAGCAGTTCCAAATTTTTATGACCTCTGTGCCACTCTTGAGTAGTCCTAGAGTCAAGGTCACATTGTTGCCCCTTTCCAACCCTCCATCAAATACTCAAAATCATGCCACACTAAACTTTCTTCTTTATCCCACAAATGTTTATTAGTCTTATTTTTCCTAGATTATGTTTTGTTTTGTTTTCTTTTTCTTCTTGGGAGAAGAAAATATCTTCTAAATATTCTTGTATTCCAGATTCTTATTTTTATATCCTTTATCTCATTCTTCTTCTTTAAAAAAATTTTTAGCATTCACTGTCTTCTTGTTGAATTACTGGATTCAGTCTAGTTTCTAATTTCCAACATATTCCTCTTTCTTAGTTTTTAGTCTCATTTTTTTTTTGAGGATATCCTGAGGCAACTACCTCTGAAGGCTCATGTAAGATACAGACTTTCTAAGTTATTGTATCTCTGAAATTACTTCAGTTCACTCTTACATTTCATTTTATTTTATTGGTTATAAAGTTCTAGGTTAAAGATCATTTTCCTCAGGATGCCTGGGTGGTTCTGTGGGTCAAGCATCAAACTCTTGATTTCATGAAATCATGGTTCAGGAATTCAATCCCCACATCAAACTCTTTACTGACAGCGTGGAGCATACTTAGGATTCTCTCTTTACCCCTCTCTCAAAATAAATAAATAAACATTAAAAAATAATTTTCCTCAAAATCCAGAGACTGATTCACTGTTGTTTAGCATCCATTGTTACTGCTAAAAACCCAACTGCTGTCTGATTCTCGTCTGTCAATGGTTTTTTCTTCTCTCTGTGCACTTTTATTATCTTTATTTGTGCGTGTTACAAAGTTATACAACATAATGTTTGGGTGTGTGTACATGTATGTGTGTGCATTTGTTTTCATCTCATGATTTTGATTTCTGCCTCAGTTGTGGAAGATGTCCTGCACTTTTCTTCCAAATGAATTTTCATATCTGTGTGTGTGTGTGTGTGTGTGTGTGTGTTGAGGGAAGGGTGAGGTCATATGCTTATATTTGATATCCAGGAGTCTTTTTTTGTTTTCAGAGCATCTTATTGTATTTCATGAACACAACATCTCTAAACTCTCTAATTACTCCTGTGATTATTTAAGTTTTCCTTTGTTTTTTTTAAGGTTTAGGCTACTGTTGCAGAGATTCATTTTTCTGACTGCTTAAATTAGTCATTCTCTTTTAGGCTGTAGAATTTCCAAGAATTTCTGGTGATCTTTGTTCATACATTTACATAAGCTGGATAGAAAGAAAATAAAGTCGGGATTTATCAGAAAGTGATATTACTCTGCTCCAACACTTATTTTCTGACCTCAGTGTGAATTTATTTATAACCTTCAGAAGGTTAGTCCTAGGGTTTCAGTAGTGAGCATGTCGGTGGCCTGGCTACAATGCCTGTATCAGTGATTCTCAACTCTGGCTACATATTCTAGTCACCCAGGGGCTTTCAAAACTTTCTGGGTCCCAGCTCCAGAGAATCAGTTGTAATTGGTCTCAAGTGAATTCAGGATCCATAATTTTAACTATGCCTCAGATAAATATTAAAGGTAATGAGAATTAAGAATTTCCAGCCTGAAAGATGTATCTTGATTTCTCTCTAAGGGCATCCTCTAGGTACTTTTTCATAATTTTTCAAACAATGAGCTCTGTGATTTATCATAGCATTCTGAATTACTGCAAATTAGTCATATTTCTTATAATACTCACTTTTGTGTGTGTGGCACACACAAAATAGTGCTGGCTTATTAAGTTTCCTAATTAAAGAAAAGACAGCCACCAGCAGGTTCATTTCTTCTACAACATCAACATCAAAAAGAACTTTTCATCAGAACAAATACAGTCTATCAGAGTACAAAGGTCTTTCCCAGAGTAATTAATTCTGAAAGTGGTGACTATTGTTATTTTCTGATAAGAAGACAAAAACAAGAATGGAAACCTTGTCCAAAGTATCCATACAGATGACATAGTTTGCAAAGCACCTTTCACTAATAATTCTCCCAAATTAATACTTGTTAAAAGCTAATAATAACTCTGGCCATGCAAACCTTTCCATTCAACTCTATGCATCTTATTTTGATAAATTGCCATCACACATGCCAACATTTTCACTAAATGCTTAATGTAATTGGATGTCCTAACTCCGTGTTTTCTTCCTCAATCTAAACATTTGACTTGTGTTCCTGTCTCTCCAGGCTTTGTACCCTATAGTCAATATTTTAGCATCTCCAGTATCTATATACCATTTATTCCATTTAAGAAAATATCACAGCTTCTAGGGATTAAAGGGATTAAAGCATGTACACATGAGGTATTTGCCTTTACAGTGAAGATGAGATTGAAGCTCTGGCTGATGGTAGTATCGCCAAGCAGTTCAGGAATCCATCTCGATATAACACCTGGCTGGAAAGTACTCTTTTAGAGTCAGCTGCATATCTAAAACATGAATGATTTTATTGTCTTTGAGAAGAGATCCAGCAAAATGACATCAAATATACCAAGCGTGTAATTAAATAAAACATGAGTATTTTAGCAATACATACTCTTTTTAAATTCAACCACATTACATTTTCTAATTTTCCTTTTAGAGTGCAGGCTGCCAGCTTCTGGGTTGGTTAATGCGTTTCCAAGTACCAAAAGGCTCTAATACAATTTTTTTGGAACCTGACTGATGCACCTAATTAATAGCTTTTTTTAATATATAGTGAACTACTTCGAACTGTCCCATGAGAATATCAATGCTGTGGCAAGGTTAACTGCATGTGCTCAGTGTTCCATTGAGGATGAATATTTCTCACCATTCAAAATGATAGCTATGGAAGAAGGAACATTCATGGTTTTGTTGATTTAAAGCTGGACATTTCCACTAAGATTGCCTAACAAGAATTTGCAGAATATTATGGATGAAATGCTGGTTTCCCAGACAGGCATTGGCTACATTCCCATTGTTGTATCTACTGGCTTTGTCACTGTGGCTTATTATTAAATACTCTGAGCTTAGTAATCTCATTTGTAAATTGGAGTTAATGATCAATACTTTGCAAGATTATTGAAATAAATGATGTGACATAACTCCATTATACTCCTAGCACAGCATCATAGAGGTTCAACAATATTTGCCCATTGCTTTATTCGATAACTTATAAGCTTATCTTTCACCTCAATTTTTTCTGGGCTCGGGGATATTTTCACTAACCAGCTGTTTCTATTATTACCAAAATGTGATTTTTAAGGCAGAGTGGAATAGCAATAATTTACCGAACACATATTACACAACTCTCTACCTGCATTATCTCACTAATTCTTATAACAGTTCCTTGGGTTAGATACTATTAATAGCCTCTTTTAATAGCTGAGAAAACTGATTAGCCAAGAGATAAAATAACTTGCCAAATGGCATATATCTAGCCAATGGAGAATGAAGATTCCAATCCAAGAAATCTTAATCCCTTATCTCCCTTAATCATCACAGTAGGAACACAGTCCTTTGGGTTGAAAAGTGATTAGTGATGTCCATAGGCTACTAACTCTGCAAGATGTTGTTAAGTATGAGGCTGTGAGCAGCAAAAGATGGGAGTAACGCTGCATGGCAAAATATATCGGAGAGATGATTGACTGAAGTAAGCTAATCAGGTTGGGAAGGTTAGAATTTGGTTTTTCATCTTTCATTGTTTTTATGGTCATTTGTAAACTTTTAATTCTACTTTTCATAGAGCAGCTTTCAAAGCCAGGGCACCATTTCACCCTGCACCCTCACCTACACAGACAGACACACAGGCACACAGATACACACACACAGATACACACACACAGACACACAAACATACACACACACACACACACACACACACACACACACCACAATTATTCTGGAAAGTGCTGATCCATGTAACAGTGAATTCAAGATCTTGATGTAATAGTCCTCTTTCCTGTCAGCCCTGGAAGCCCGCCCATCATCACCCACCACCCACCCCTTCTCTTGCTAGTGTTCCGTAAAATGACAAGGACAGAAAGATCCATACTGACAAGTAACTGATACTTGATTCTGCCCACACTCGTGCTACAGCAAAATCAGGTAACTTCGATGTGATATAATTGGGGCTTATTAAAACCAACATAACTTTAGTCCAACCAACCAATATATACATCTACCTAATCTTGTGAAGTCTACATTTTGCTCACATCATGAAATGGATCCCTTAGGAGGTGATTTATATTAGAGTGGTAAGATTATTTGTTTTCTATGAGCTGGAGTGTTCATTTTATTTCTTAAAACAGTTATGGTCAAGTGAGTATATGATGATTTTGCTTTCATTTTGTAGTATTAAATAATCTCCACTAATTTTTAAAAAATAGTTTAATGTTTATTTATTTTTGAGAGAAAGAGAGAGAGAGAATATCTGAAGCAGGCTCCAGGCTCTAGGCTCTGAGCTCTCAACACAGAGCCTGATGTGGG